ATTTTCACAATTCAAGTGTCAGAATATAAAGTCGTCCGACACTTTTTACTTTATTTTTCTCATTTTTTTTTCCTTTTTTTTTTTTTTTTTTTTTTTTTTTTACTGGCTTTCCTTGCTTTACTGCAGTATCCACTTTAATAAACTCACTTTACAATTTGCCTTGATGCACACACATCTTGCATCTGCATGCAGATGAGTTGATGTTCTATGCAAATGTCCGCTTAAACATGTAGTTGTCACTGTGTCACACACTTTTATGAATGATCACACTTGTAACAATAAAATGTCATTCTTTTGTACGTATTTCATACTCATGTTGTTTTACATTTAATTTATGGGCAAGCGGAAGCTGATGCCTATCTATATATATATATATATATATATATATATATATGGCATATGTTACTATAATTGTTACACATTTATAGTGATATGCATATGCATGAAATTAATTTAAACTTTGCCATGACCTAAGGCACCAAATCATTTTACTATTTATCCTCAACTCCATGCAATCAATGCATTTTTCAAACTTACAAGTATTTTCCTGAAGTTAACAAGGGAGAAAGTTTTACTCGTTTCCTATGAGCTTGTGCATAAAGTTTTTTTCTACACTGCGGGGCGCGTCATATTCACATTCATATGGAAATTTTTTGTACAGTTTATTTTTACAGTTAGCAAATTTTCAATTTACTTAGTAAATTATCGTTTTTTTCCTAACGTAAACGAATCAAAAAACTTTAGCATAGAATGAGAAGACATTGCCTGAGAGAAATTCTAGTAAAAGTATTTCTATCCCTATGACTGATTATAAAATCGAAAATTCATTCATTACGGTACTGAATTGTTTTTCACCAAATAATTTCATAACGGTGCTTGCTTATTCGCTATTCGTTGTCATTGATCGCTCTTTACGAATTTGTAAAATTACTTTCTCATCTTTCTCATTTCATGCGAAGAAATTTTTCCCATTTCCGTAAAGTCTAATCTAATAAAGTGTAACCGAAAACATGCGAATATGATGGGAGAGCTATATGTCTGTGCATCAAAGATTGGGTAAGTTAAAAATCTCTAAAATCATTTTAGTAATAAGTAAGCAGTAACCGCCCTTATGTCTATCAAAGTTGTTTAGAGATAATCTTTAATGCCATGAAAAAAGAAAAAAACCGTTTTAATATAATATTATAATCACACACATACAGGCAATCATTAAAAATTCTACGATAACTTGCCCAATTCAAAGCTTCAACTATCTTCGTCATAAAGTATCAACCATTATCCTACTAAGCAATGGACCCCTTGCCGTCATATGAAAACTTTTTCCTTTAGATGAGCATTTACTAAACGGATGCGCCCTACTTAGCGTAACACGGTGATGGGCAAAAAGAGGTGGGCCATGAGAAAGAGATTGACACTGTCCCGTGAACACTTTAAGAGATTTTAAAACTTCTTTTTCAGAAGAGAAGTCATGGAATGGCCCAAGCGCATCAAGATTTTCCTCATTCATTTCGTACGGCAAACTACCGAGAACTATATTAAAATTCATATTAGGATTATTTTGAAATTAGATCGCTATATACGCAGTTTATTTCTTCTCAATGGTTTTCGTCGTGACAGACAGACAGACGGACGGACAGACAAAGTCAAAGTCGTGTCGAAAAATGCTTCTAAATCCATCATTATAAAGTCGATGTATCTCATATTCTTCTGAGTGCCGCAAACATTCTTACAAACTTAATCTATCCCTAACTCTAAATGACATTAACCAGGTAACCATATTTTGACGATAAAGGTCAGAGAACCTATCTAAATACTGAGTATTGCAAACTTATTTAACATGGAATACTTTGTTTTTTCTCTTTCTATTAATTAAAACTAATTTTGTGAGTTGAAATTAATCCATTTGTGGCTCTAAAATCTGCTTCATTCCTCCTCATATAGCCCTTAGGCAAAGAGTGCCATTTCATAGACAGGGTTTTGCGAATTTCTGCGAAATTCTTTAAATTATAGCTTTTCCTAATTGTTGAAGTCATTATTGGTCATATTGTATAAGCTCCATATTCTCCATTTTCGAAAAGAACAAAGAAAAAAAGAAAAACGAAAAAAAAA